GAACTGGGCATGATGCATTTGTTCATGCATATGTATATGCACCCCTGTACGACTTATATGCACAGTCATGTGTGTACTGTGAAACTGTGGCATACAGTCATACACTGTGACAACTGAAACCCAGAGATTCACACAAACACATAGTGTAACAACATACACACAAATGGGAATGTGTGCGTGATTAGGTTTGCACCCCTGCCTATGTATGTATGTGGATTTGTGTACTACGTGTCTAGCTTTATGTGTTGGGTGTATTGTATGTGTCTAAGATGGATAGTTACATAGACTCTAGATAAAGAGAGAGTGTAGTGGGGAGATTATGGGTATTTGTGTAGTTTCTCCATTGTCCTGAGTGGTGTACTTAGCTCTATTGCTAGGACCTACTCCTTTCTGAGAGGTGTGTGGCTGACCCTTTACCCACCTCCCCCAACAGCTGATGGAACTGGGGTCTCAGGACTAAAGGAATCACCTCCTACTGCTCCATACCCAACAGTGCCCTCTGGCCCTGTGAGGACCGGTGACAGGACTGACCTTTCAGCTTCCAGCTCCATATTTGGCCCTTGAAGAAAGGCACTCCTGATGACAGGAGACTCTCAAGCCTCCGATCCCTCCAAGTTCCACCCCCTTCTAGTGCCAAATGACACCTGCCTGAGGGTCACTTTGGTGTGGAGCCTAAAACTGAATTGCACATTACCCTCACTTGGATCGGGTTTCCCAGGTTTCCCGTTAGTCGTAAAGAACTCGCCTGCCAATGTAGGAGACGTAGAAGATGCAGACTGGATCCCTGGGTCAGGAAGATCCCCTGGAGGAGGGCATGGCAACCAACTCCAGTATTCTTGCCTGGAGAATTCCATGGACAGAGGAGCCTGGTGGGCCACAGTCCACTGGGTTGCAAAGAGTCAAACACAACTGAAGCAACTTAGCATGCACACACGTGCTCACTTGGGTTAGCTGGGAAAGTTGGAAATGGGGTGAAGTAGTGTTGAGGAGAGGGCAGGAATGATGGCCCCATCCACCAAGGTCTCCCAGTTACTCCTCGGATCTAGGATCTCCACTAAGGGTATTTGAAGTTTTAGAATTCTGAAAACCTGGGTTCTGGAGGCAAAAGACTGAGTGGCATCATGTCCTGGTAGGAGGTTATGTGTCTTTGGTCTTTGTGGATATAACACCTTCACAATCTAATCATCTGCTGCTCACCTTGTTCCAGTTCACCTCCAGCCTGGATGGGACAAAACCAACCTATCATGTAACTACCATGATACCATCCTCGTATCCACAGACTTAAGACCACCACCCTTTCCTCAACACATTGCTCGCTGCGGGACATTGGTGGAAGAGCTGGAAGAGATTTGGGATGTTTGCTGAAGGTCTGGTAGAGAACATTATTCATTATTATTCTGGTAGGTGAACTCCAGAAAGAAAGGAATTTAGGAGGGGTGAGAGATGAATCGATCAATTAAGAGTGAAGGCTCTCCTCGGGAGAGCTGATTTTCTCACACCTCTTTGATGTCTTGGGGAGGTGGGACATACAGGCATGGGGGCAAAGTGTCATCCTGGTCACAGCTTCCCCATCTTCTCTCTTTCCCATATCTGTCCTCTTATCCATGGAATCAACCCCAAAGCACAGCTCTGACTTCTGCTTCTACAGCTCAGAAAGGATCAATGGCTCCCTATTGCCCAAAGAAAAAGGCCATATTCCTTTTGTTATCAGTCAATGAAGCCCTTCGCAATAGGACACTCCTTTCCCCTTCAATCTGCTTTTCTAGCCTTGCCTCCCAGGGATGCTCCTTGACCCCCTCGATATACTTCCTAAGCCCCATCCAAGCAAATAGGGAAACTAGATATTTCCCCAACCTCCTCCAGTTTCCCCTCTTTCCCACTTCTGTTCTTCTTTCTACCTCAAATGCCACCATTAGCCTCACCCCCATTCCAATTTCTGCCTGGTGGGGCCCTAAGGATCCTCCAGTGGATGCCACTTTCTCTGATATTTTTATGCTGGTCCTCATTGTGCCTACCATCCACAGCACCACTGACTCCTGCAGAATGGTTTATCTGTCTCTCTGACATGAAGTTCTTGTCCCTTCTCTTTGCCTGCTGGTGACCAGAACTACTGGGCTCCAGTCTCTTTGGGCACCAGGCTTTGAACACCCCTGAGTGAAGGTAGGAAGCATATCACAAAGGTTTTGTGAATAAGATACCAATTGACTGCAGAAAAGATGTGGAGAGTTAGGGTGGGTTTAGGCACACATTTCAAGGAGGTGGGTGGGGTGGGAAGCTCATGTCTGGAGCTCTTCTCCCTGTTCCAATCCAGCAGATTTAAGCCCCAGCCCCAGTTCTCCAGGGCATCCATCTTTATCCTGTTTCTCTGTGGCAGCAGGCAATGTCTACTCCATGCCCTTGGCAGGAGGGGCTAGGGGCTCTCGACCAGCTGAGAGGTCCTTATCCTACTGGGAAGACTCTGGATAGAATTGATTCTCCTCCATGCTGCCCTGGTTGGGGT